AAGAGCCCTCTGCCCCTCCTTGTTTCCCAAGTGTTTATGTGATGCTGTGTCCCTCTTGACAGAGGGTTGCAGTTGTCTCCCACCTCTCCAGAAGCGGTGAAACCAGCTCGCAGCGTGGCTGACAGAGATCAAGGGGGTCAGGAACTCCTGCTCGCTGCTTTCCCAGACCCATGCAGCTTGCAGGAGCTACTTAAGGCTCACACGTAGGAAGTCCTGCAGGATGGGGGAGAGCTGAGAAGGTGCAGCTAAAACATGTTTTAGGTGTAAATCTGACCTAAAATAATCAAATATATAAAATGCTTCTGAGATAAGCTCTTCTGAGATGGAGTTGCTGATGAGGGAGAGGGCCTCGTTAGCTTGTTCCTCTTCCTTGCTGTTTGGGAAGGGGTGTGGGACACATGGCCATCTGACTGGTCCCTTCTTCCTGGCTGCCCTTGGGGCTGCTGCTGCCCACCAGCTACCCCTGCCCTGCAGCTTGCCCCCGGCAGCCCTGCCCTGCCAGTGCGGTGGAGAGAAGCGGGCGACGGCAGGTTTTAAAAAGTCCGCTCTTTCAGCAGGCAGCACCTCCCAGGAGCCAAGGGCGCTGGTAGCTGCAAGCCTCACCTGATGCATTTGAACATCTCCACCCAGGACTGCACCGAAAACGGGCTGCTTTTGTTCTGTCCTTCATATTTTGCACAGCAAAAGCAGAAGCCAAGTCTGCACCTCCTCTGCCAATGGCTCTGTAACCATCTCTTTTGTTCTGTGTCTTTCAATTTTGGCTGCTGGGGCAGCGTGGCGTCGTGCCACGTAGTTAGGAACGTGGGCTAGCGTGGCGGTCCCGTCTGCCCTCCTGCACCACGACGGCCCTCCCGAGTCCCTCCTGCGGCCACTGCCGGCTCTAGACTTAGGTTTGACCATGCTTGTTGCGTTTTGTGGCCTTTGCCCGCGATTAATTGTAATGCCATAAGCATCTCGTATGTCTGCTGTTCGCGGGATGACTTTGATGTGTGGTGGCGATGGCTGATCACTTGGTTGACGTTTTATAATCACATTGTGTGTATTCTAGATGAAGTTCTCTTCTGGCTGGCAGGGCCCGTCGTGGGGGAGGGAGGAGAACTGCAGGGAGAAAGGGAAAGGCGTCTTAAAACACAGATGTGACTCATTCTGTAGAAATTCAGATTAGAGTTTGCTGATTTTTAGAAAAAGAACTCTAAAAGAGCTTTTTTCCCCCTGAAAGTTCTTCAGAAATAATGGAAGGGGGGGAAATAAGTTAAGATCTTCTGTGGATGCTAAACGTAGCCAGTAGAGAACTTCATCGTACTGCACTGGTTTTGTTTTGTTTGTAGCTGCAAGTCATCAAAGTGACCTTACCTTGGGTTGTGTGTTTTGTTTTGATCGATGAGTTGTCATCTGTCCACCTAATTCAGAAGTCCAAACTGCATATCGTGATTGAAATTTATAGCTAAATTATTAAAATCCCACAGACCAGAAGAACCTTCCCTTTTACATAGAAGCAGATTCTGGAGTTGCTAAGTGTGATTTTCTGGTGCAGTAAACTGTGGTGTGTGATGTGCACTTGTGTATGTATTGGGCTGGGATGTATTTCTGGAAACGGAGTACAGGAATACTTACTGTCTTCTTAGCTAATGGTGCTTTTTATTCAAAGTAGCATTGAAGAGCTGGAATTTTTCCTTGCTGAGCAAAAAAAAGTAGTGCAGGATGTCGTGGATTTGCTGTCTCTCTGGAGCACACCATGGGAGCTGCGATGGAGGAGCTGTGTACGTGAAAGCAAAGCTGACATGCGGAGTTCCTTGGCGATGAGTTGGGAGCGTGCGCTCGCCCTGACGGCCCCGCACGTGGCCACGTCCTCCGCATGGGGTGTGCCAGCTCCAAAGAGCAGTTGCGTGGCGGCAAGGGACATCGGGGGGTGACCTGCGGAGCTGCTCAAACAGGATGATGCTCAGGCTGGGTTGCTCAGAGGCTCTCGGACCATCCTCCTGGTCATTTTGCAGGCGCAGGCTGAACGCCTGTGTGCAGGAAAAGCGCAGGTCCCTCCTCTGCTCCTGCTGGTGGGTGTTTTTTAGTGAGTCCTGAGTGTGAGGATTGTGCATTTGGTTTTTTGTTGTGTTTGTGGGGTGGTTTTAACTTTATCAAGCCCTGGAGTAGCAGCAAGCCCAGTAGTGGGACACATGTAGGGAGAAGCAACAGGCAGCCAGAGCATCTGCCACCAATCTGGGATGCAGGCTGTTGTCCAAGCTGCCGATTTACGAGGGGGTAGAGCAAGAGGCCTGGGTGGGGTCCGCTCATCTTGCCCCCGACGGTTGCATGGGCCAATGCCTGTGGGTGCCTCTGCAGACCCTTTCCCCAGACGCTGGCAGGCCAAGAGAGCAGTATTGCACCTCTGCATTATTTAAACCAAAACAAACCAAAACAAACCCCCAATGACCAAGCGTGAGGAACCTCTGGGTTGGGACTGGGCCCAGCTCCTCGGAAGAGGTGGCTGCTGCAAGTACGCGACATTATGAGCTTTTGGTCTGAACTGGCGCATAAGCTCTAGCTCTGATTCAGCCATGCTGGCCTCAGTTTAGATCAGAGCTAAACCAAAAGTGATTCAGTGAATTTCTGCCACCTCATCTCATTCTCGTTAGTCACAGGGTGATACTGGGTATGGTGCATTTATGGACTGAAGGGCTCCGAGGTCCCTCTCTCTGCACTACACCGGGGATGGCTCTGGCCTCTGGAGATGGTCTTGCACTTAATCAGCCAAAGGTTGAAGTGCTGCTCTCCACCATCCATCCTCTTCCCCTGTGCTGCTCCTCGGGGGGAGCCTCATTATATCTAAGGACCCTGATTTCAGAGACAGTGTTGCTGGGGGGGGGGCAAAGGAGAACAATCATTCTTTCATCGTGCAAATTGCTTCAAGAAAAACCGAAGTGCATTTGTGAGTAGGAAAACATGAGAAACCTCGGTTCAGATGAGCACTTGTTTACCAGAAGCCTTTCTCCTGCCTGAAGAGTGGGTTAAACCATCCGGTGCTGGTTGTAAAGCAAATGGGAACAGTCCTGTAACTGCTAGACAGGGGGGACCAGCCCCAGGTGGACCCCAGTACATTGTAGGTGGTGGCTGAGACCTAGGACGGACACTCGGGTGGAACGAGGGCAGCCAGTGAGCCATGCAACAGAAGTTTCCAGTCCCTGGCTGTGAGTCACTACGGAGCACCAGAGCACCAGGTCCCACTGCTGGGCAGCGTGGTGAGTCTGCTGGGGTTTCCGACCCTGGAGATCAGATGGACGAGTGGGCAAGATACCCTCTCCCTGAGCAGCTGAGCTCAGCTTTAGAGAGCAGGTTAGGCATGTACAAGCCTGCCTCTTGTGAAAAGCCTGTGGGAGGCTTTTAAAAGTGGTTGTGTTTGAAAATGTGCTGTCACACACATCCACACAAAAATCCCCAAAATATTTGAATCTGCATAAGCTCTTTGCAGAGTTTTACCTTGGTTTTTTGGTTTGGCAAAATCCGTTGGGTGTTGGGGACAGGGTGGAACGAGCTCTCTGGAGGATGGCTTTTGGTTCGTGCTGTTGCCTTACGTGATTCAGCAAGCAGCCAGCCAAAGGGACCTTTTCCACAGCATGCACTTTTTGGTGCGCGTGGCTCTTATCTTTCAGTGGTCACATGCCATTTGCTAGTGACAGCCTGCACACCCCTATTTCTTAAACAAGCCCCAAATCTGTCAAGCCTGCAAGTGACAGCCTGCACACCCCTATTTCTTAAGCCCCAAATCTGTCAAGCCTGCGCACAATGGAGCACTCTGCTGCTGAGGGCTGTGCAGGCAGATACTGTTTGTGCTCTGCAGTTGCATGTGCATTTTTAAAATGCCCATTTTTGTCTGGCCCGTGGCAGTTTGCATGGATGGACCTAAACCTTCAGGTTTGCACAGTTTTTGCTCTTGTTTGAGGCCTGACTTGTTGTGGGCCCTTTGCAAAATACAGCCCTTTCATTTTGCTGCTTTTTTTTTTCTTTCTTCCTCATTAGCAGTTTCTAGCAAATTAGTGGGCAATCCTGCATTAATCATCTCCAGGATCTTTCAGTCTGTGGACTTTAATTGACTGTGGCGTTGTTAAATTCCTCTGAGCAGCACGGCTATCTCGGGGCAGGGGCAAACCAGCTGGTGAAAAGCAACAGTTTAGGACCTGCATCGAAAGGGCAGAGGAAATGCCGGGGGCCAGCTGGCCGCAGAGCCTGGATGTAAAAGCTCCTGGGCACGTGAGCATCGCTGCTGGGCCGGGGGCTGCTGGCATGGTCGCTACTGAGGAGTGTTACTGAAGGGGAGAAAACCAGAATTAATATCTCATGTTTTACAACAAACACCCTGTAGCACTGCCCTAAACATCTAGTGTTATGGAAATGCTGGCTTAAATGTGTAGTAGCTGGTAACAGCTGGCAAGCTGGAAGGCCCTCGGCTGTGCCTGGGGACAGTGGTCATTCCTGGTGGGACACTACCCTGATGGGACAAGCGGAGGAGTGAGCCGGTGCCGGGAGGTGCCCCACAGGGGCTGTGGGTCCTCGGGAGCCTCCACCAGGGTTTGGGCAGTGCGGGGGGATGCGTGGACCTGGAGGATACGGGAGGTGACGAAGCTGCCAGTGCTGGCAGGGACAGGCGGGGCACGTGGGGGCTAGGGAGATACGGTGAGCCAGTCAGGCAGGGGCTGTGTCGCGGCCATCCAGGGAGGTTATTTTGGGGACCAGCAGGACTGGATAGTGGGAGATACACGACATGGAGACCAGGGTGTGTGTCTGTTCTTGCAGTCCATGCTTCACCTTGCACTACTGCCACCCTTGGGGTCTAGGAGTGTTTTGCTTTTCATTCCCTCCACCCTGAGCAGCACCCCTGACTCGAGGGCAGCACTGCTGGGCAGCACCGTTTCTGTGGCTGATGCACATGAATTTGGGGGGGAAGGAGGGGGACATGCAGGCTGGAGGGAGCTCAGCCCCTCGCTGACTCTCTCCCTTTGCCTCCACAGACTCACGCCTCACTATGTTTACCCCCAAGCTATCATCCAGCCCAGCGTGGTGATCCCTACCCCTGTGCAGTCCATCACGTCTCCCTACATCGACTACACCGCCGCCAGCCAAGCCTATTCCCAGTACACCACAGCTGCCTACGATCAGTACCCCTACGCTGCTTCCCCCGCTGCCGGGTTTGTGGGATACGGCTACACGGGCGCAGTCCAGCCTCCCATCACCACCAGCAACCCAGCGGCGCCCGCCACCGCTTTTGTGCAGTACCAGCCCCAACAGCTGCAGCCCGACCGCATGCAGTAAGGGCCCTGCCCGCGCCTTTGCCACCTAGGACAATCTTTTACAATGGAAGGATACGACTAGGACAACAAAAGCAACAAAAAAAAACCAATAAAAGAAACAAAACAAAAAAAGAAAAAAAATCACCCCGCCCCTTTATCCCCTTTACGTAGGTGCATATCAATACCTAAGCTATTTATAGTGTTAAGGGCGAACCCAAACCCTTGCAGTCTGACTGTGCTCATGAAAATGGACTTCTGGTAAGTTGTTTTTTTCAATCTGGACAGATACTGTCTTGAAGATGTTCTAAAAGTGACTGAAATGTTTCACAGGAAAACTACAGATTCTTGCACACATCACAGTCTGCTTCCATCACCCGTGGTCGTCTTTCTGGCCCTACCCCGTCAGCCCTCCCCTCCTCATCAAACCTGCAATCCTCTTAATTACTGTTGAGGTACAGAGGTACTCGGAGAACATGGAAAAAAGCAATCTTATTTTTTGGTTGTACAAAAACTTTGTAATACTCAGAGATGCCTTACAGAAAAAAAAACAAAAGAAAAAGAAAAACTATTTTTTAATATTTATTGCGATTTTATTCGCATGAGCTGTGAATTGCAGACAGAAGAATAGTAGTATCTGCCTTGTTTAATTCTCATTTTACTAAATTATTGTATGTAGGTAAAAGCTCTTAAGTAATTGCTGAATCACTCAACATGCAAAAGGGAATATTGGCTTGAAGGAGAGCAGAATATTCCTTTAGTCAACGCACTGTACTATTTTCTTATTGTAATTGTTACTCTGTTAAGATTATCTCAAATTTAGGTATATTTTTAAATGCAAAAAACCAACCAAGAATACCGAACATTTTGTCTACTTTGGTAGATCTTTTGTTACAATGCTGCAACCTATGGAGACATTTACAGTATTTATGTAAAAGAGATTTGGGGCTGTTGGCCAGCAAAGCTTAGGAGAATTATGAGTGGAGCAAAAGAGAAAAAGGTGTTATGTCATTGAACAAATGGGTAAACGTAACCTTTTTATGCCTATAATCCAACAGCCAAATAAAGGAAGAGAACAGACGATGTAAGTTAAGTGCATTTCTACAAAGAACAGCAATAAACTGTTTTAACTTTTAAAATTATTCGATACTGTATGGTACCATGTTTGCTTGGCTGGAGTCCATTAGGGGGTACTTTCAAATTGACCTGATCTGGCTACGCTGGGCCTTCGCCTGCGAGCATGCCAGGGTGGGTTGGGAGCATGTGGCCTGCGGTGCAGCGGAGCAGCAGAGCCTGGCAAGAGCCCCTGCTCGCATCCTGACCCAGCATTGCATCACACAGGCATTGCCTGGGCACAGCCGTCCCTCGCAGCGTGTCCCGTGCACCGTTGCTCACTCTGCACGTCCCAAGTCACCTGTAGCTCTTGGCACCTCGGGGTTTTTGAGCTCTTGGAGCGTCGTGCCGGAGCTGTGCGGTCCCCAGTGCTTGTGCCCAGCACTGGGCGCTTGCTCACACCCATCCTGTGTGGAGCAGAGGGTGTAAAGTGCTGCCATCCTGGTGCAGCTGCAGTGGAAACCAGGACAGCTGAGATCAGATCTTACCCCAGAATCCTCAGGATATCACTTTCCTTCTGTTATTTGCTTAGAATAAGTTTTTTTTCCTAAATGGAATCCATCCAAAAGTGAGTGGTCTGCCAAAGCCCTGTCCCAGTTCAGGGATCTCTGATCCGGCCGGGCATGGGCAAGCTGTGGGCAGTGGTGAGGCTCTGGCAGGGTGCTCGCACCCCTGAGCTTCCTTTGCGTTACTCAGCCACATTCGACTTTCCCTCACCAACTTGCTTTAGAAATTTGGTTCTCAGATTTTGACCATTACAAACTGTGAATATTGGCTTTTAAAAGTAAATAAAATTGCTCTATTTGAATGTGCTAGTTATCTAGTTCATCTCTGTAAAGGTTACAGCAGCACTGGTGCCAGGAAGTCCCTGCATCTTTGGCACCAGTGTATATTGCTGTTCAGAAGGTGATGACGCCTAAAGCCATCCTGGGGGAAGAGGGTGCTGTAGGATGGAAGCAGAGCCAGTTCAGCACTGTATCTGATCAACTGCCCTGGTGAACTTAAAGGCACACAGTGGGCACATCTAACGTCATCAGTAGACCTCAGAGTAAACAGCCCATCTCAATGAATGGAAACAGCTCATTCCTCCCTTGCTTATATTGCGTGAGAATGCAGATCCTGGTGGGGCTCTTCGTCCTGTCCAGGGTTTTGCTTACAACCATGTGGGTGACATTTATTTCCTTTTTAAGTAATTAGTTTCTGAATACGGCTGTGGGGCTGCCAAAGGAGTAAGAGCTGAGCACCGCATCCAGCACGGCATTGGCGAGGAGCGCAGCCTGGCCCGAGAAACCTGCCTTTGAAGTACTATCGGGGGGCGGAGATTATTCCGCAATTCTTCTTTCTCCCTGTCATGAGTCTTTCTGAGGAGGAGGAGGGAGGGGAGGATTTCGGAGGCGGGTGAGGATGCTGGGAGCCGTGTTGCAGTGCCCGTCCTCAGGCAGCGCTCCTGCCTGGCTCCAGCACTGCTGAATGTCAGCTTTTGTCTTCACTGAGGACCCGTGTCTCCCCAGGTCAATAGGAAGACCGAGGCCTCCGAAGATTAACTTGTCATTGGAAAAAAAAAAAATGTGTCCGGTACATTTTAAAGCGAAAAGAGTGATGATTTTCCATTTAGCTGACTCTAATTTCCTGAAAGGTGGCCAAAACTGCCAGGAAGCGAGGGCGCAGACAGCGCTGAACAGCAGCACGCCTCCTTCGCGCGGCACCCAGCCCGCCACTGTCGAATGCCATTCCTGGATCCCGCTCAGTTTTGCTCCGGGCTCATTTTGAGAAACAACCACATCAAAACAACAGCCCAACCTGCCGCCTTCCTGTTTGCAAAAACCCAACTGTGAAATTGTGGCTGGGCAGGATAATAATGAAATCCGCCGTCCAGCTTCCCGGGTGGAAGTGGGGTTGCAATGGCAGGTGGCAAGGGAAGCCTGCAGCACTCCAAAAAGGAGCCCGAGCGCTTCCTTGGCCCGGTGCTAGGCTGGGAAAGTGGGAAGAGCCTGACGGGTCGCTGTGTTAGAGGGACAAGAGTTAAATGCGGTGCATGAGCGGTGGGGTGTGGATGAGAGGCAGTGGCTGCGTAGCTCCTGACTGGTCAGGGTAGCGCAGGCCAAGTGCTTAAATCACCTTGCGATTGCTTAAAAGCGTAATTTTTTTGTTGTTGTTTTGGGGGTTTTTTTAATGTGTTGCTTGATGGAGCATCCTCTTTCACCTGCACCGTGTGCCTTATGTTGTCCCAGGACAAAGCGAGCTCACCCCAGGCAGCTCAGCTCTGCTCCGGGCAGACAGGAGCCCAGGGTGGGCACGGGCTGGGGAGTCACGGTGCTGCTGTAAGAGCTTCGGTGCGGCAACGCGGAGCTGCAGAGACGCAGGGAGGAGCGGTGAGGGCTGGCTGCTTTTGGCAGGGCAGCCCTGGCAGCACTGTCTGCATGACACAGGTCCTTGGGGTGGGAGCGGCTATACGGTCCGGACCTTGTCCTGGGCACTTCACCATGGCCATGCTGATGGCTGACCTGGTCCAGGCCACCTCCCAGCAGCTGTGCCCACATGCCCGGTCATTTGCATCACAAATTCAAATCTTTTTCATAGGAAACCATCACACTGAGGCTGTCAGGGTGAGCTTTGGCTTGTGTGGGCTGGAGCATGTGCAGCCCCTCTGCTGTCATGGCTGGAGCATGTGCAGCCCCTCTGCTGTCACCGAGAAGCGTCACCATACATACCAGTGCTGGGGTCCTGATCATTGCCCAGCCGAGCCCAGCCGCAGCCTGGCATCGCCTCCCTTCCCACGCCGCAGCAGCGAGCCAAGAGACAGCCCTGTACCCCAAGCTGCCTGCGGAGCTTTGTGGCTGGTGCCAGACCCTCCCCACCTGCCCGCTGCGGGAAGGGGATGGCTCAGGTGAGATTTCTGCCCTTTCCAGGCACTACCTCGCCCCGGGGTGTCCCCTGTCATGGGGGCAAAGCCGAGGGCTCTGCTGCCAGCAGCTGCCCAAACCCGCTTGTGATAAGGGGCAGGGGGGTACCGAGCCCACATCTCTGCAGTGCTCACCCTCGCTGCCCTGCGTTATCTGGCTGAGACATTGGGGGAGCCCCGTGGGCTCCCATCAGGGTCTGGGGCTTTGCAGTGGTACCCCCAGCCGGTGGCCGTCCCCAGGAGGGAGGGCTAGGGGCACCGGCAGGCACTGAGGGCACGGCCAGCCCCCACAGCCCAGCTCCCGCGGCTAATGAGCCCCAGCGCCAAAACTTTATGGCTGAGAGGGAAAGGCTAAGCGCAGGATTTATTTGCATAGTAACTGGGCTGCTGTTGGCACTTACCCTTTAAAATAAAGTTCACAGCAAAATGTTTTTACCCCCTCACATACAGGGAATGCTAACAGCATCCCTTTTTTTTTTTTCCTCTTCTGGCTGAAACTTGTTTTTCCCTCCTTTGTGCCTCTCTGAATCCTGCCAGCGTAGAGATTCCCTTGTTCAGAGAGAAAAAAAGAAAGGGGGGGTGAAAAAAAGAAAAAAGAAAAAGAAAAACTTAAGCCTGGGATTAAAAACCATCACTAAAATAGTTTGAATAACAAAGTCAACTGACTCGCCGGGAGCCCGGTGAATGCCTGTCACGTATCGCCCTTCGGCTGGGGGCACGGTCATGTGTTTCACTAGATAGTTCCTGGAAAAGCTTCTGCTCAGCCCGATAGACCTGTGGCTTCTGATACCGCTGCGCCCGCGCTGTGCTGGCCCCGCTCTCCCAGAGGGCTGCGGAAAACTTTCCAAACTTATAGAAGGGGGTGGGAAATAAATAAATCTCCCTTGGGTACCAGAGACATTGGTTCTTCTTGTGACCTGGATAACAACCAGCTGTAAATGGTGATCAGGGCTTCTCCAGCCCCAGTGGTCCTAGCACCAGCACCCCGGGGCCAGCAGCCCCGCTCTGCCCTTATTGATGTCTTTAGCAATGGGATTTATGGTTTGGGGTTGTTTTTTTTTCCCCACTAATTTTTGCATAGTTTGGCTACATAAATAATCAAAAAAAGTGGGACCTTGCATGAGATAAAAGCAGAGGGTTTGTAAATCCCCCCCACAGGCAGAGCCACCTCGCCATGTCAGACACATCATGTGGGACCACGCAACCAGGAATGTGTTATTGGGGGATTTGTACCTAAAACCAAAGCTACGTACATCGGTTTTATCCTTTTGCTGACACCAGCAGCACAAACCTGGAAACACAGAGGTGTGACGAGGCAAAGCGAGAGGGACGATGGCTCAGATAAGGCCACGCTGTGTGGGAGGGCAATTAAAGGCTCAGATTTATTAGCTGTGTGCCTGTGCTTGGGAGGCTGATGGTGGTGATGGAGAGGTTGGAGATGGAGAAATTGGTGCTGGAAAGATCAGAGATGGAGAAGTCAGAGATTGTTGTTCTGAAAGTGCTGCAATGTTTTAGGGTGAAACTGGGCACTGAAGGCACAGCACATTCCTGGTGAACCACCCTGCGGTGGGTACAGACTGTGCCCAGCCTCAGCCGCTGAACCCAGGGCCGGGATGGGGCACGGGCAGTGCCCATGAGTACAAGGCTTACGCACCTTTCTCTGAAGAGCCCTAAATATATGTGCATGAGTATATTTATTTAATTGTGGATATATATATTTAAACTTATATATAATTTGAATAGATAATTATATACAGATATGTTTAAACACACATTTATAGTTTATATATGAAAATACATATGCATATACACAAAGTAAGTATTTTTTTCCTTCTCCCTGCAGGCACCTTTGAGCTGCAGCCTCTGCAGCAACCCCTGGGCTTGCTGCATTCACATGCCATGAGCTGCACATTTACCGGAGGCGTGACAGTGCCCCGTTATCCAGGTTATGGCCCGCGTTATCCCCTGGTGCAGGGGGGGCCGGCTCCTGGAGCCGCCTGCCCGGTGTCAGGCAGCAATGGTGGGGCTGCACCACCATCACACACCCCGTCCCCCAAACTGGTGCGGTACAGCAGAGAGGAGAGACAAGCGGTACTAAAAATTGCACCAGGACACCATTAGTATCAGTGGCCCCTTATTAAAGGATGTTTTGCATCTTCTTTCAAGAGCCACCGTACTCAGCTTTAAATAGAAATGAGATAAAGAAGCGTAAGGTGAAATAATCTAGAGGACTGACGTGAGAGAGGAGCTCAACTCCCACTTTCGGAAGCGGCTCGGGCAGCCTGATCATTAAGTCCTATTGAATTGATAAGCCCCGAAGTCCCAGGAGACAATTTTTGAAAGCATTTACCCACGTAAAGCTGGAGAGTGTGGCCTTTTGTAAATCAGCCAGGAACACGTCTTGGTTTGAAAATAGCACTAAGCATCTTATTACATGTTTAACACTCAAAAGATCTTTTAAAATCAAACTAAGCACGCTTGAGTGGTTCCCATTTAATCTCTACCTCTAGATAAACACCGGGGGGTCAGCATGTGCATGCAGATACCGAGAGCCATTTGCTTTCTCCAGTAGCATCAGCTGGTTGTGTTTACATGAGCTGCTTACATGCTAGCACATTAAGCAAAGCTTGAGCTTTGCAAAATGAAAGTGAAATGAAATAAATAAATTGTACCATTAGTTTTCTGTGAGCTGGCTTTAAAATTAGCAGGTTTTAGACATAAACATGGTAGAATGAGCCCTCAGGGGAAGAAAAACCCTCCAAAACCCACATCTGATCCTTTTTCAACAGTGTATGCTACTCTTTATTTCATGCCATTTTAGTAAGGTAAACTAATTTGGTTTCCTGTTTCCAATGAATTTTGTATGTAGAAAAATATTTATACTGTATTCATACATTTATATAC